AAGAATAGACCATGGCATATGGTTAGTACTCAAATTACGAAAAGGGTTCATTCCTTCGGTGGCAAGTTCAAGCCTAAGGTTTCTTGGTTTAAGGGCAAAATCTGTAAACAAGGAATCAATTTTCTTCCATTACAATAAATCAACTACATGACGAATTTTTCCATAACACACCATTTCATATGCATGCCATCTAGTATTCTTTGTTTCACTAACATTAACAAACAATCTCTTTAACCTTGGAATTATCGGTAAGTACCACATCATATTGACAGAAACACTATTGCTAGTTGCACCATCGTCGTCATCAACATCATTGTCCTTCTGTTTGTAGCGCGACAATCCATACCTCAGGAACTCGTTCAAGTTTTCAAACTCTTTCCTATATAAGATGCAATCATTACAACAAGCATGTATTTTTACATAGTCCAAACTTGAAATTCTGGTATACAGATTACAAATGTGCTAACACATGTTGAGACATTGATCTCTTCAAAATAACACATGAACAAAAAACAACATACAGATACAAAACTTATCAGTCCAGAGTCGTAACAGATATTCCAACATCTTATATGACATATCAATCAATCAAGAAACAAAAATGAACAATGCAGAATGATAAAAACACAAAGATATAATGACTCAGTTCGGTGTACAACAACACCTACTATGGGGACTACCAAGCCAGGAAGAAAAGTCCACTATAAGCAGTATTAGTTCAAAGCGACACTCCCCCATTTACAACTTCTCACCTAATCCCTACCCAATGACACTTGTACTTAGGTCCTCCCTAAATATGAGAAATATCCATCTCACTTCCTAAATCACCTCAACGATATCTAACAACCATAAAGTTCAGCCAAGACTCTTGACTAATTTGCTTCAAAGCTTCATCCAAGAACAATATGCATTATATGCTTAAAAGCTTAAGAATGAACAACAAAACCTTACAACTCAAGGAATAATCATACTCTTCTATCAACATGATATTAGAGAGGCTCACACACACCAACTCTCCAAGATAGTGGTTTACAGACTCAGACCTAATAATTGAAACTTTGCATCTTCGGTTGGTGACTTTTCTAGGTTAATAACTTTTTATTTATAACTCTTTTCCAAACTGGATTTGGGCTCCGAATCACAACATATCAGTTGCTACAAATCTGCATAATCTTTTGTGTAAAGATAAGTCTTCAATCATGACTTTCCTAATTTATCTCCATAGTTAGAAAGTCAATATTCTTCTTGATTTCAACTTGAACATTCTAGATCTTAAAATCAGCGCCATGTAGGATAGCATAATATTCCCAGAATATTTTGCATGTGTCAAATCTTAAACTAATCCAATAGTCCAACCCAACACAATTAGGATGTCGAATGACTCAGTGTAGGATATCATATCCGACATGTTACTTCAGTTGATGAAACATCTCAACTCAACATGTTTCTTCATAAAATAGGGCTTCTTGTTCAACCTGTTCTTCTCAACAAGTTAATACATCTTATTTAACATATTGTTGCTATATTTATTTTACTAAAATTAATATCAATCCTAAAAACAGAGAACTAACAATCTCTCCCTTTGACAAATTTTAACTAAAACAAATATACAATTATAACTCTGATTACAGCAAAAAAATTACAATCATCAGCTACTGAACACAACAACATGGAGGAACATCTCTTCACCATCATAATAATACAACATCGGCTACTGAACACAACAACATGGAGGAACATCTCTTCACCGTCATAATAATGCTAGGACATCATGTTCGACATCTTCTCTGCATCAGCTCCATTGCAACACAAAGACTCAACACCAAAGAACAACAACCTCAGGATAAAGGAATAGAAAGTCCTGAAGTCATTTGGTGTACATGAGGAAGAGGGTAACATACACCTTCCTTTAACAAAAGCATCATGGATCCAACAGATCCAACAGATTCCAACACCAGATGGTGTACATGAGGAAGATGACTAACACTCCCCCTCAACCCAGGAACAAATCTTCCTCTCAGGAAGAATAAGAGAAAACTTAAGAGGCATAAGAGAACCATTAAGATCCAACCAAACACCAAGCTCAACAATTCAAATGATGACTCAGAGGTGTCGGTTTTGACCTCGGATAACTCAGAATATAAGACATAATTGTGTTATAACTCAGATCACAAGAGACAAAAGAAACATCAACTGAAGCAAGACTGAAACAAGACTCTGATATGATGTTGAGACATCTTGTTAAACATCCTTGCAAAACAACTGCAAGAACAAACACAACATCCAATTGGTGACCAATACTTTACAAGGATATCCCCCACAATATCATAGCCAAACTGTATTCACCCAAACCCAGATAAAGGCCATAAGAATTTTGAACAGAAACTATCACAAGATGATAGAAAAAACGAAATAATCTCTTTAAATAAATGAGAAGTTACTTAGGAATTAATGATCCTTGACTCTAACGATGGTTTTGGTCAAGGAGGAACGTTATTTGAGTAAGATAACTCCACCAAAATAAATATGCACCATCCAATTCAGTCTCGACTGCCTTTATTGTCTTTGGACTGTTTCTTCTAAAAAGATATTCCCAATACGTGCACAAGCATAGTCAGACAAATTCCCTGTACTTTTTTCAGACATGTGCTTGATCACACCGTCCATAACACTCCCTTGTTTGGTTCAAAGAGAAAACATGTCCTAAACAAAGTTTTGACATCCAGACAGATATTATTTGCTTGTTCTTGTAGCCAAAATGTCAAAAATGCTTCACAGAAATATCCAAATATCCTGAAGCATATTCTCAACATCTTCCACTGGATTATACTTCTTTTGACCAGTACAGAATATCATATGTGTGACATCTCTTATTCATCACCCAGGACATCCATTGAGTCCCACCAAAGGTCTGCAGAGAAAAATAAATTCTCCTAGTCACAAACACAGTCTTCCAGAGAGACATATGTGCTCCACAAGCTTGAACAATACCATTGCAATAACAATTTAGAGACAAGTATTTAACTCCCCTTATCAATGATAACCAGTATTCCAACTGAACACGTTTACACCCTTGTTAAGATAAACTTGAACTAGATGCTCTAGCTCCTTGAGAGAACAACCAAGCCTTCCGACTCTTCATCAAAAACCTCTTGATTATGCCAGTCTATCTGATATCATTTCTCTGTCCTTACATGCAATAGCTGGATGAAGTTATTCATTCAGCAAGCGTGCTATTTTAGACAAGACTAGAGCCTTCTCATCATAGTCAGGAATGCCTCTTCTGATAATACTACTAAGCATAAAACCAGACAACTTTCACAAAAATGATGTTACAACATCATTTAGGACACCAACTACACATTATAGAACTCGACCACTCTAGTTCTTGATACACCATACAAATGACTCATCATGCTTGGATGTCCTTCTTTCAAGAAGCACACGACTTCAGCAGCTAGCACACACCAGAGAACCACAGAGAGAAATAAACTCTCATACACCTTTTTGAATTATAATGCTCAGATTGCAGACTCGCATAGATACGTCAGGCAAATACACAGCTCCCATCAATATATTTACCATCAGTCACATGTGAGATAACTAGAGAGAAATAAACAATGAAGTCGTCATCAAATATTTATTTATCCCACAGAAGGGAAAGGAAAACATCAAAGAAAACCCGGGAAGGGAAAAATCAAGGTCTTGCGACCAAGAGAACGAGTACGGGAGTTGATTACGCAAGTAGAAGGTATTAACACCCCTCACGTTTGTGGTATTCCACATAATCCACTCATGTTGTTCTAAATCAAAGAATGTGTCAAGCTAAAGGGAATACATGAATGCAAAGTATTTACAAAAAAAGGTTTTATTAGTTGTGTCCTCCGCAGTTGCGAATTTTTGTACTTACGTACCACCTTTCGTGCAATAAGGGATCAGGGCACTCGCACTTCACCTAAAAATGTGTTTTGGTTTGTTTGGTGTTTTTTAGGCAGATAATATTACATTCGCACTCTAGAAGTTGACATATTACAACCCGACTTTTGGGAACTTATGCGTCGTTTTATGTAGAATGGAAATAACACATCCTTTTTGTGAAAAGATTTTCGAAAGAAAAGCCCGAAGACAAAAGAGATTTGATTGGTTTTGAATCTTTTTTATCTTGAAAAATGATTTGGTGATTTGAACCACATTAAAGACTATGACATGAGAGACTTTGGATGATCAGGTCAGACGTCTCGTATCCAGAGTGCTCCACACGTGCTTAAGGCTCGTGACACGTGATTTGCCTCTTTATTGTTAAGTGTTTTTTAGTTTGATTAAGAAAAGAGTTTTAGTTTTAGAGATGTAAAAGAGGGAATGAAAAAGTCTAAGGGAGACTAGAGCCCTAATGTTATCATGCAATGGTTGTCCTAAAGTTAGGATGAAAGGGAAAGATCTACCTGAGTTAGCATGCAAAAATAGACTTAATGTTGAAGATAGGAAAGCTACATAATGTTATCATGTATGGTTCAGAACCTAAGATCTATTTAGTTCACATCTTAAAGAAGATCAAACTAAAATCCTAAGGGAACATGTTATTCACACAAGAAAAAAGAAGAAGTAGAAGGCAAGCAATCAAATTCTTAGACAAGATAATGAAAGCAAACAAACATCACATGAGAAGTAACCACTTACTCAAGAAATAAACACTTAACCAAGATATCATGTCATCAAGGTAGAAGAAAGAGAAAAGATGAAAATTAGATAATCACACATCATATGAGAAGTAGACACTTACTCAAACACTAGACACTTAGATAAGATGCCTAAACATACTTACTTAGATAGGTAAGCAACAACGAAGAAAGAACATGGAAATAGGTGGAGACCTAAGCAAGTAATCAAGTAGGAGAAAAAGATGACAATACATCAATTATCCAAGTAGAAAGGAAGATGGTAATACATCAATCACACATCAATTCATAACTACGCGAATATATTGCCCTTGAGAAAGGGACTCAGATCAAACATTGTCTACAACGGTAGGACTTCCAGTTATGCATCTCTATTCGACTTCTCATGGCAAGATTGATTGAAAGTGATGCAAGAATGAGATAGAAAAGAGATCTCAAGGGATACCAAACGGAGGAGGTCTGTCGCCTTTTCAAACGCGCGCAAAAACTCAAGAATCCTTGCAGAAGCTTCACCAACAAAGCAATCGAATTAGTATTCAAATGCATAAAGGTTGCGTCAATGATCAAACATCAAGTGAGAATAAATCGCAAGTAGAAAGTGCGTCAGATGAATCTGATGTATCAGATAAGAATTTCAATTCCTGCATCATATGAAAAATAGCATAACCAGACAAAACTAGGATAAATGGAATATGAAGTGAAAGTTTAATAAATTAATCAATAATTGATTAAACTTAATTGATTAAGTTAAGAAAAATTAATTAGCAAGGCTAATTAATTTTTAATAATTAAACCAACTAAATGAATCAAGACTTGATTAATCAATCAAAAGCGAATAAAGAGTGTGAAGCGGAAGTAACCACTTGAGTCGTCTTGAGAACTTGCATAAATCAACAAACAAGTTAGTAATCGCGAGAGAATTGAAAACCAAATGAAACTTGAATCAAATTAACAAATAAATATTCCTTAATCAAGAACCAAAAAACAAAGTCATTATTCAATGTAAATAACAAAAATTATCATTGATTCATCATTCTAAACATGTTCAAAGTCAAGTAAACACAAAGATAATCATGGTTTTCCAATCACCACAGAAACAAAGATCAAGAATTTGCATTATTACTTCACTTGAACACGAAAAAAATCAGCATTCAACACATTGTTTCAAACATGTTCAATCAATTAAACTCAAAAGTAAACATGATTTTCAAACCACAAATGAAACAAGAAGCGAGAATTCAAATTACAACATGAAAAATCAAGTTTAAAATAAATCTTAAACCGCTAAACCAAAATCCAGACAGTAACTACACGAACCTATTGATGTTCAATAAAATTCATCTTAAAAGTGTTCAACACAAACGAAATACCTAACAACGCCACACTTGAATTTTCTCATTCGAATCAAATCAAATGAATCCAAAACATCATTAGCCTCTCTTTCAAAATATAGCTCAACCAACATGACATAACAATACTTCACTCAGGATTAAAATAAAAAGTGATGTCGTCACAAATTCCTCATTCAAAGTTTGATCCGAAAAGCAACACGGACACAAATAACGCGCTACGATTCCACACAGATTTAGCCCGACAAATAACGCCGATAGCATAACATTTCTAACACGATCAAATTGTTTTCCAGATTTTATCACAGTATTAAACGTTATCACAAACCCGAAAACTCGAATAGAATTAGCATACCATTAAAGAGAACTCAAACAGAATTTATACACTATCCAACTCCCTCGAACACGAATTCGAAGCATATTATCCGAGTTTAACACAGATTATAACAATCTCAACTCAATAAAAGATGAAGGTGTTGAAAGATGAAGGTGAACACGACAGACGGAGGGTCTCGTGCGGACAGAGGAGGTGGCAGAGAGATTGGAAGAGAAAGACGAAGGAATTTCGTTTCTGCCTATGCGTTTGGTGTTGTGATCTGATTAATCTCCTCCTTCAATAAAACCTTATCCCCATAGTCACTTAGGTCTTATAAAAAGACCAAATAGCCCTCAATGATATTTGATATATCTTTATAAAATTAAATTAAAAAATTAAATGATAAATGGATATTAAAACCTAATTAATCCTATTATAAAAGTAATATACTATATATTTTTTATAACAAAAAACTAGACTAAATTACTAATATTTGAAAAATAAAGATAAATAAAAATGATTATATTTGTAGATTTTAAAAAAAAATTAACTAAAGGACTTGAATTAAATTTTAAAAAAAATGAAATTCTGAACTTAGAATGTATTTGGATCTTGAAGAATGCCTTGAATCAAATATATAGATTGATCTTTTCTTATAATTCAAAGCATATTGATGCACATAGGAGCTTAGAATGATAATAGTTTGACTAATCTCATGGTTTTTTAAATCCATAGTATTTTATTGAATGTATGTTATGTTAATGATCTAATGGAATGTATGCAGATAAATGCAAAAGTTTAAGCCAAATAGAAGAGAAGATATGAGGGAAAATTTTGAGGTGCAACAACATGCAACCTGAAATAACAGTTTCTCTTAGATGTCCAAACAGCTGATAGGATTACCTCTTCTCAAGTGTAGAGCATACAGGTCATCACAAACACTTGGAAAAAAAATTCTCACATACTCTCTAAAACAAAGAGTTCAGATTGTAGACTTGCATATACACATCTAACAAATACTCAGCTCTCGTCAAAGAATTTATCATCAGGGGAAAACTTTCTCAAGCTCTTTACTTAACAGTTCCCTCTGAGAAATATAGACAGCAGATAATACTACTTTCCCACACTATGTAGAATATTTGGTCTGGCATCCTTCTTTTGCACACCACTTAGCATAAGTGGATTCTTCATCATGCCAAACAGACACGAAAGATATACAACCCACATACCACTCCAGATTAGATCAGTGACTTGACCTTACACTCCACCTCGAACAAGACAACCTTCTTTGGCAGGATAAGCAACCAACTGAAATGATGTTCCACCATCAGTTCAGACATCAAGGACTTAATCAGTTATTATGGCTTTGACGACACCACCCATAGTAATCCAAACATAACTCTTGTAGGAACCCAAGGAAACAACACTTGTACTCATTGACAGACCAGGTCAGGAAGCACCAGAAAATATATCCTCATATACTTTCTACATCAATACATCAGACAAATACACAACTCCCGTCAGAGTATTTGTTATCAATCAGATGCATACCTTTACCAGAGAAACATTTTCCTACACTTAAACAACAAATAATGGCGTCCTCTTCATAATTAGAAGAACACTTTGAATATGCAGACATCACTCAACCACTTTGAATGATACACACCACAACTAAGAGTTAATATCTCTTAACTTAGGTTGACACAACTTCATTGCATACGACCCCTTGGATGTCTTTTCCACTACACCAGAACAAGAATTATATATTCTCATAGACTTGATAATAATATCAAGTTTGAGTAAACAATCTTCATCTTGTTTATGAGAAACATCCACCAGTCATCTACTTAACGTCCCCTTCTCTGACACGGTCAGAAACTATTCCATCAAAATAGTCACAAGCAAGAACACACAAATCTGACTTCTCTAGATCAGAAGAATCTTTCAAATGCCAGAGAGAATGTCCTCAACATTTAAGCTTGACATCCACATATGAAGAACCTGGTTGAGAAAATAAATCTCCTCTAGAAGTTTAGAACTCAGCCAACAAAAACTTCTTAGACACACAATCGAGATGCCTCATCTTCCAGTTTAGGAGAAGGTTCTAAACATATGTGATTAACACACATTTTTTAGCACCCAAAGCATATGCAATTTCATTCCTTTCGCCAACAGAGTTTTGCACAACTTGTTGATGACATGTTCAAACATTTGGTAGGTCATCATTCCAAAGGACACATCAAGAGATTCTTTATCAAAGACCAGAGATAAGCCTTTTAGGGTTGGAAGAAAAAATAAATTGCTTCTTACTATCTTTAGATCTCTGTTCAACAAACTCACTTAAAAGTGCCTTTATTAGTGGACTTGAGATGAACTTCAAGTATCTTTAGCAACTTTAGTAGGCTGGTTGAAGCTATTCTCCAAGCATCACTGCAATACAGGATACACCTTCAAAAAAAAGAACATATCACAAAGTTATTCCTTATTGTATTGTTGTTATACGGTGGGAGAACTGACTTGAGAGTTTTGCATTTTATCGTAATTATTGCGGATATCGAGAGTCTCCATCGAATTTTCTTTTATCAAATAAAGGAAAGGGTGAAAAGAACAGGAAAGACCTTTTGAGAATTTTATTGAGTTCGGGGATAGGTTATAAAAAGGGAAGGTGTTAGCACCATTTTTATATGTAGTTATCTACAGACTCTTAGTTGCTAGCTCACTTTGAAATGCTTTATTTGAAATGTGTTTGTGATAGTTTTGAAAATATTTTTAAAAATTCCTTCGTTTATGCAAACTTTGTAATGATTCTAGTCTCTATAAGAATGCATATAAAGTGTTGACTTTTGAAAATATTTCATGGAAAAGTGTTGGTGTATTTGAAATATGTTTTGAAATATGTTTTGAAATGTGATTGTGAGTAAGCAACTATGAACGTTCTACCTACTCAAAAAGTCTTAGTTCTTTTCTTTCTCCTTTATGTATTGCTACCTTACCATTAATTGATAACAAGCTCTACCATTGGATGTGAAGGGACGGGCGTGGGTCATCGTATAGTCATAGAAGGCAACATTGTAGGATACCTTATCAATTTGTCGTAAGGGTCTAAGATCATTTTACCGAAGGCAACATCGAAGGGTTATCGAGGGACTATAATCTTATATTCGAGGGTCATTGCTAAAGTATCCCATGTTTGAGGGACATGGCTATTTTTCTAAAGACAACAAGTGAGGTTAACCCTAGAGGTGCAAGTGTGCAAAGTGTTTGTTTTCATGCATTTTTTGTCTTGAGATTAGGATTCTCTTAGATTGATTTTATCTTTCCATACACATCCTAATTACTAGAAATAATATTGAAAGCGGTAAATTGCAAAAATGTAAATTCTATGCTATTACATCTTTTTTCTTGAATGGGGGATACAAATTTACAAATGGAGAATGAAAGCAATTAAAACCTAATTACTATTACAATCATATTGAATAATGAATAACAATAAAAATATAAAGAAAAAAAAAAGAATTTTTTTTTAAAAAAACTTTTATATATTGACACATGCACTTACGCATTGATATGAAAACTTTTACGCATTGATGCATGCACTTATGCATTGATACAAAAACTTGTATGCATTGACGCATGCACTTATGCATCAATACATATCATTCCTTATTCTTGAAAGTCAAAACCAACTCAATATGAGTCGATACATAAAGGTTTGTGTCGGCTCATAACTTATTTTGCATTGACACATGCACTTATGCATCGATACATATCATTTCTTTGCTCCTGGAAATTAAAACCAACTCAGTATGAGTCGACATATAATGGTTTGTATCGACTCATTTATGTTATGGATCGACTCATTCGTATTTTGTATCGACTCATAACCTTTTTTGTACTTAATATGTGTCGACTTATATAGATATGCATCAACTCGTACTGTTGTTTTTTACTTCTAACATTTTTCTGCTGCATATATGAGTTAGTTCTCAACACATGATTAACGATAATGGAAATTAAACATATGGTTAACTTCAGGGAAATGATATCTACATTTTATCTTCACAAATGAACCACTAATGATGCTTGTATGAATATTTCAAAGTCAAGAAAACTTACCTTGAAACTGAAATTTGTGTTTTGACTTAGACTTGTTGTATTATCTTAGAGAACTCAAATGGCTGTTTTTGAGTTTGGAGAATGGTAATAGTGATGTTACAGAAGTTGTTCTTGTGTTTGAACAACTTATATATGATGTATATGAATGGTTTATTTAGACAAGATTTTCAAGGTTTGAGAGATTTGAAGATTTTGGTTTCAAAGCTTAAGAGTGGAGGTTTTATGGACAGTTATAGTTTTTTGAGAGTTTGAGGGGTTTTGAGAAACTCGTCTACACAATAAAACTTATAGCCCTTTAGCTTGCAAATGGTCTCTCTATTTATAGAGAAGGTTTGAGAGGATGAGAGAGTTTGTTTCACAAGTTGTGGAATTATGGTTTGGTTGAGATGAAACAACCAAGTTATGTGAAATTTGATGTCCCAATGCATGGTACAAAAGGGATCTGAAGTGGCTAGGAGTTTTTAGGCATGTTGCTTCTTGCTTTGAC